TTTTCTTTTCTTTTCTTTTCTTTTCTTTTCTTTTCTTTTCTTTTCTTTTCTTTTCTTTTCTTTTTCCTTCAGGGTCTCTCTGTAGCCTCAGCTGGCCTCTTTATGTAGACCAGACCTTGAACTCACACAGATCGCCTGCCTCTGCTTCCCAAGTGCTGAGATTAAAGGCATGTGCCACCATGCCTGGCTGAGAGCTGACTTTCTTAACTGTACCTCATCTTCCTCTTTATTTCTAGCACTCAGCATATAGTTTGGTATGTAGTAGATGAATCAACATTATAATGAATGAATTAATTTAAAAACGAATGAATGGCTCTTAGGAGTTCAGAAATGAAATAGATTACTATGAATAAAAACAGTTAAAGATATAAAACTTTCGGTTAGGATTGGGGGAAAAGCTAATGGCCTGCTTAGTATGCTTTTGGGGACTTGGACACAGTTCTTTAATCCTTGCCAACTCCAGGGATTAGGAGGATCATGGGGTCTGTTGTGTATCTTGATCTGGAACAAAATGATTCATGGTCTCTGTTTCTTTCAAAGGGAGCATAGTGAGTGTGGGCGATCCTAAGAAGAAGTATACACGGTTTGAGAAGATTGGACAAGGGTTAGTAGGGGCATTCTCTTTCCTTGGAGAAATGGCTTAAAAGTGTACATGCTGGCATATATGAATTTACTTGTGTTTTGCCTCTTGTAAACTTTGTTCTTCTTTCTTCACTTTGTCTCATCCAACTGGAGGTGTTATATTAGGATGACTTCCAAATTTGGCAGAATTATATTTAATATGACAGATGTTCTATTAGCTGACCATACTAAAAATACCTCTTGCAGCAAGAATAAATGAGTCATCTGTTTCTTAGCATGAAACCAGCTTCACAAAGTATACCTCTGATTTTCCAGATTAAACCTGTTTGCCCTAGTACTGTTTGCCTATCAGTACTAATATGAAATGGAACATCCAGAGCTACGAACATGCTAGTCAAATGGGACAACCCATTTTTCGAGGTGGATGGCAGATTTCAGACTTTTACTCTCTAGTTCCTTCTCTGAAATCTGCATGCTGTTCTCCCAATGTACTAAACACAGCAAACCATTTTTGTTTTGTTTATTTGAGACAGTCTCACTGTATAGTCCCAGCTGGCCTGGAACGCTCTATGTAGGTCAGGTTTGCCTGGAACTCACAGAGATCTGCTTGCTTCTGCCTCCTGAATCCTGGGATTATGAACTCAGCTGAGGACTGTGCATCAGAAATAGTCTCTGCCCTCAAGGATCTCAAGTCAGCAGAAGATAGAAAGACAAACGAAGAAGTAGACCAGAAGTCAATTTTTTTCTGGAAGGAGGTTGGGTAGGACAAAGAATGAGAGAGCCTTGGGGGTGATCTTAGTGGCAAACATAGGTTATGTACATATGTAAGAATCAAACTGTACACTTAGTATTTATGCAGAAAGTTTTAGGTAAGCTGTACCTCGGTGTAAAAGAAAATAATGAGATTTCTACTGATGAATCAAAAGAGCTAAAAAGAAACTGAGAAATGAAGTCTGCTGGCTCATAGTAGAACAAAAACACTATTGCTAATCAATTGAAATTTTCTGTTATGATTTTCTTTTCTTTTCTTTTGGTCTTTTTGAGACAGGGTTTCCCTGTAGCCCCAGCTGGCCTGGAACTCACTATGTAGACCAGGCTGGCTGGGAACTCACGGAGATCCTTCTGCTTCTGCCTTTAATCCCAGCACTTGGGGTGCTGGGATTAAAGGTGTGCACCACCACACCCAGCCTGTTCTAATTTTCTTCTGCTCCCAAGAACTTCTGAAAGCAGGTTAAAGGATTACATAATGCGGGAGTGTCATATTTGTCATTCTATAGTTTGCATCTGTTATTTACATCAATTTTCAGTTTAGTTTTCAAAGTGACTTTCAGTTTAGCACATCTCTTTTTTTCCTGATCCAAGTGACTGTCTGCTAGATATACTTTTGTGTGTCCAAACTGGTATAAGATTGTTTACATTTTGAGAAGAAATTTTTCTTGCCTGAGAGTGATGTAGACATTTCCTTTAGGTAGCTGAGTTATTAAGGATATAGCAAAAAGGTACATGGGCAAGTATAGACAAGTCAGAGTTCTTCTCTGGACCTGAGTTTCTTTATCTATAATTTAGAGAACTGGAATTAAGGGCCTTTCTCCTCCAAAATAAGTCTTTTTAAAGGAATAGATATATGAGATGTACATTTACAAAATGTTCCTTATTGGCTTTATTTCACAGGTCTACTAGGGCTCAGGCAAGAATGAATTCTATGCTGATGTTTCTGCATTTCATAAATACAAAACTATAAACGCCATACCAGTATGATGAATTGGTATTCTTATAATTTTGGCTTGTTTCACCCTCACCCTTTTTTGACAAGGTCTCTCCCTAGCCCCAGCTGGCCTGGAACTCACTGTATGGATCAGGCTGGCCTTCATCTCACAGAGATTGCATGCCTCTGCCTCCTGAGTGCTGCCTTTCCCCCATTTAAGACCTGAAGACTGTTAAGCTTTTAGACATAGAATTCATATGTCTAATAATTGTCTACTCAAGGTAGAAATAGTCAAGTTTTAGCAAGTGTGCTTGAGTAGCTTTATAAAGCTTTATAAACTTGGAAGACACAGTCCCCAAATATCCAGTCTTTGAGACTTGAATATCCTTGCCCTTTGAGAAGGTGTCCATGACAGGAATAGGGAAGGCTAGGAACAGGAAGATGGATGTACACCTTCTGACTGAAGATATCTGAGTAAGGATGATCAGGCAGTGAAGAAGTAACTCCCAAAGACAATATCTGTTCCTGATTTGATAGCCAGCATCTTAGAATCACAGTTTCGAGGCATATTGCTAGGCTCCCAGTTAAGAAGTGGTAGTTAGGGAGCTGGTGTCCATAATTTCTAACTGGAAGGCATACCACCAAGTAACTTTTCTCCTTGAATTGACCTGACTTCTGTGGGAAGCATAACTTCAGGGCTTGCCTGAGAACATTCTTGTAAAAGACTAGAATTCAAAATGTCTACAAATTATATCATCTAAACTTGACATATGGTATGTGTAGCTACAAATATGTGTTGTAGATTACCTAGATGTATACTGGATTTGTGGTTTTAGGCATAAAATGAGGGCTCCAATTGTTTTATATAGACAGGATTGCTTTCTTAGAATGATTTCTGGCATTTCGTTCATTCTACCCCATCTGCTTGTGTGACTGTGCATATACATATCTACATGTTCATGTGTCTGTAGTGGGGTTATTCTTATGTTGGGGTTGAGGTAGCAGTAATATATTTTCTGGGATATATTTGGAAAAAGTATATTCAACATTATTTTTTATTTGAAAAGAAAAAAACTGCATTTCATAATACAAACTACAGAAAATGAAATTCATGTATCCTTTTGACAGGATGTGATTGAAAAATACAATTTTAGAGGGTCAGGATATCTCATAATATAAGAGTTGGAAGGGTATTTCAGGATTATTTCAGACTATTCAATGTGTTAGTTCTAAGTTTTTGTTAATTGTTTTTTTATTAGCTACATTTTTTTTAAGCTCCACTGTAGAGTAGACTCTTAAAAGCTGAATACTGCTCCCAATTGTCTACACTCCAGTGAATTAACTCCATAGCTTCTTTTAGGGGGATGGAATATGGATAAGGTTTTGCTCTGTAGTACTGACTGGCCCCAAACTCTTAATCCTTCTGCCTCGGCTTTCTGAGTTGCAAAGATTGTTACTGGCAGATGCTTCTTTACCTGGCTAGTTGTAGGTTTTGTTTTGTTTTCACATAGGGTCTCATACTTTAGCCCAAATTCATGGCAAACCTCCTGCCTCAGTCTTCTAGGTTCTGGAGTTATAGACATGAGCTACCATACCAGGCTCTGAGCATAGTTTTTATGTAAATTTTTAATTGAACACAATATACATAAGTATGCATGATTATACTGACTATTCAAAACCTAAATATATCCGTGTAGGCAGCACCCAGGTCAATAAAGAGAACATTACTGACACTCTAAAAGTCCTTATTGTTGTCAGCCATGGTGCTACAAGCCTTTAATTCCAGCACTTGGGAGGCAGGCAGGTGGATCTCTGTGAGCTCAAGACCAGTCTGGTTTAAATAAAGTTCTGGCCGGACCAGCCAGGGCTACATAGTGAGACCCTGTCTCAAAAAAAAAAAAAAAAAAAAAAAAAAAAAAATTCGTATTTTAATAAATATATAATCTGTCTCCTCCATCTCATTCTGAAATTCTCCTTAGGCCCCTCCCCTTTCCCTTCTCCTTACTCCCAACTGAAATAAGAAAGTAAAGCAACTTGACAAAGGTAGTAGAGAAGAGGAAGGCAAGCAGGACTAAGAAACTAGCACTATTATAGTTTAGGCACTTGCTGAGTGCTTTACATGAATAAATTGATTTAAACTCTCTTCCATACTCTTATATTCATATCACATACACAGAAAAATAGAGAAGTGAAGCTCAGAGAAATTGTATAACTTGCTCAAAATCAGATAGCTAATAATTACAAAGTAGAAGTTCTAGATTGCAGTTCTAGATTGATTGGTGCCTTTATTCTTTACCACCACAAAGTACCTTTCCAATGTGAGAAGAGGAGGACTGCAGGGGGAGGATTTATTCTCGCTGCTTTTGCTAGCACACTGCCAGGTTGTGTAGAAAGCTGCGTTGACAATACTGTATCATTGAACACCTGTGTTTGTTTCCCTCTCTCCCACACCTTTTGTTCAGTGCTTCAGGCACCGTGTATACTGCAATGGATGTGGCCACAGGACAGGAGGTAAGTACTTTTCACCACCTGTTGTTCTTTTACTCCTACAGTTTCGGTTTGTGTTTTTTTGAATTTGGGGTTAATTTTTAACCCTTCTTGGCGCAGTAGGACCTTTCTAGTTTCTTTCTATACCAGGCTAGAACCAAATAGCAGACTAAATGGGATGAGAGTTAATGCTTTCGGAAAAGCTTCTGAAGCTCCAGTATGGAGATCAGAGGAGGGAAGACTGGACCAAGTAAGTCTGGTTTTTATATTATTCCTGGTGAGGTGATGTTGTTGAAGTAGGTAGATTTGATAGAGTTAACATGTAATCTGATAGAATTTGGTGGTTGAATGTGAGGATGACTTATAAGTGAATGGTATTATTCAAGGAGAAAGAATAAAGATGGAGGTATAGGTATGAAGAAGTTGGATGCTGTCTAGAGATTTTTTAAAACTGCTTACTGGGCAACTGCCTATACAGATTTGGTACTTCAGAGAGAAATCTGTTATAGGAGATTAGAATCCAACTAGTGATCCTTCCAGCTCTATGCCCAAGATTCCACTGGACACTGAAGTCCTTGGGTTTTTTTTTGGTGGCTCTTCTTTGTCCTTATTTCATTAAGCCAGGAGAATTATGACCTGATTTGTTTAAGTCTGCTGACCTAAGATCATCAAAAGGAAGCCATGAAGGGAGTATCAAGTTCTTGTGGGTTCCTGGCAGTCTGTGCTTTAGCTGGTTACAGAACAGGAAAGCAGGTAGGTGGGCTGTGATTGGTACCTGCCTGCAAGAAATTCTTAGCTCAGAGAGTTCTGGAACTCAGCTATAGAGAGAAGCTTTCTTTTCCAGTGAAAATAGAGTTGGGTTCCTCTGAGGGAAGCTGCTAGGAACCTACTTGCATATTTGATGATTGAAATTTGGTATCTTTGAGGAGACAACCCATACCTCATTGGGTTCTTGTTGGTCTTTTACAAATGTTAAAACCAAATTCTAATGTTCCTTTATGAGCAAACTTTTAAAGCCATCATTATGGCTAAGGGTTTATTAATAACTGTTTTTAAAAATATTTTATTTATTATTATTATTTTTTTATGTGTACATGCCTGCATGTAAATATGCCCATGTTGTGCAATGCCCATGGAGGTCAGAGAGAGTATTGGATTCTCCTGGAACTGAAGTTATGGACGGTTGTTAACCACCACGTAGGTGCTGGGAATCAAACCTGGGTCTCCTACAAGAGCAGCCAGTGCCCTTAACTGCTGAGCCATCTCTCTAGCTCTAGCCCCTTATTAATAGCTCTTTGAGGTGAGATTCCAAAGGCAAAGATGCTTGCCTTAAGTTATTTCTATTACCTGGAGTGAGTCATTTGACCTCTGACTGCAGGGACTAGGTTAGAATCTTTTGATTTCGAATCCTGTGCATTTTGTGCTGTAGAGCCACTGCAGAGCTAAGGTTAGGCACTAGGTCCCTTCTTACCATGTTTCTAAGCTCTTTAGGCCTGAAACTCTTGATGGGAGACAGGTGATAAGTGGTTCCTGAAAGATGTTAAGGTGCCTGTGTGAGAAGCTGGCCACAGGAAAGAGAAACTTGACTTCATTGTGTGCTTGTCTTGTGGTTACAAAACTATGAATGCAAGCAAGTCCATTAGGATGGCTAATGCAGTGTGGTCAGGAAGGCCTCATTTCCTGCCCAAGGGACTATAAATCTAGTGGTGCTAGAGGGATGCTCTCAGTCTGAGTGAGTGAGTGAGTGAGTGAGTGAGTGAGTGAGTGAGTGAGTGAGTGTTTCCTAGCTTGTTAGTGCTGGGAAATCTTCCAGTTAGAGAGCAATCATTTTTCAAGCTTGTTTTTAAAGGGAATGTATATAATAGAACATACTAGAAGAACACTGGAGTCATGTTGATCAGAGAGCATTGATTATGGTCAAAGGCAGTTTCCTTACATGTCTTGGTTCAGCTTCCTTAACTAAAAATGCAGCTTTACTTTGCAGGGTTGTTGGATTTGTCTAAGATAATGCAGATGCCACACGCAGCACAGTCTGACACAGAGTAGTCATTCAGCAGCAGTAGTGATGAGGTGCGGCTACTGCTGCTGCTGCTGCTGCCATCAGAGAACTTGCTGTTCTCTGCCGATACTTACCATGTGCTGTTACTATGCTTATCATATTTATTGTCTGCCTTTATTACTTAAATCTTTTATTTTCATATGAGTAACATGTTGGCTATTTTTCTTAGTACTCAAAACAATCCTTAGTGTTGGTGAATGGTGGTTGAGGTTACTATCTTCAGTGTATTGAAGAGACTGAGGTTCAGAAGACTTGTGATTGGTCCAATTCAGAAATTGACAGCCAAGCCTTTTTCCCCCTCCCTCCCTTCCTCCCTTCTTTCCTTCAAGTGGTATTGCCTACCCTAAATGGGTAGGATTTGATTAAGTAAGGACATTTATCCTGGTCCATAGTCCATCAGTAGTGACTGAGAAGAACTTCCTGTGTCCTGCTAGCCTCCACCTGCGTTCTCCCTTGCTGCTGCCTCCAGTGACCACTGGGAAGTTCATAAGCACTATCTCATTCTTCATGATGACCTAAGGAGCCCCAAAGGGACTTTTAAGGCTCCAGTCCTAGTTATAAGGGCTTACTTAACATCTGTAGATCAATGTTACTTTCAGACATTAGGAAAAGGTAATCCTTAGCCATTATAGAAAGCTGCAGTGAGACGAGAAGCCTGACCTATTAGGAAACCCATTCCAAAACAACCTTTTTTCTGACTTGAGGTAACAAATGGGAGTGAGAATGCTTAAAAGAATCATTAAAAATTATTACATTTGTGAATGTGTGTGTGTGTGTGTGTGTGTGTGTGTATGTGTGTGTGTGTGTTCACCATGGTGTGTGTGGCAGAGGTCAGGGGATAACTTGAGGGAGTTGGTTCTCTCCTTCCACCATGTAGGTCCCGGGGATCAAACCAAGGTTGTTAGGCTTGGCTGCAAGAGCCTTTACCCACTGAGGCCTCTCACTGGCCTAGAAGGATCATTTATTGTCTGTAATTGACCAAATCTTTGCACAAGACTATATTTACTTGAAATAATGTCTGTGTTTGACTTGAAGTAATATTAGATTAGAAAATTTTGCATCATTCATTCTCATTGGTGCTTCTGGAAAGATAATTTAGTTCTATTAGATGCTCATGTTCTTGTTCACTAAGCAGGAAAAAGGGAGACTATCTCTAGGGAATGAATACTTAGCAAACAGTGTAAAACATACTCCTATGGGATGTAGTAGCCTCTTGCTGGTTTTGTGTGTGTCTTCAAAACAAAGTACTTATCAACCAATTGCTTCTCTTTCCCTCTGAGCACCAACTGTATTTGTTGAGCCCTGTGCTTGGCATTGATTCTCGATCGAGCTCTGAAATAGTGCATGCACATACATAGCACACCTAACTAATCTTCACAGGAATAATATGATCTCACAGGGTTTTACAAAAGAGAAAAAAGCACATTAAGTTTGAGAATGAGATTGCCTCTGACCTGACACAAAGCTTTTCAATACGTGAAGTTCATACAGAATCTTCCAGATAGAGAGATGACCTGAACAAAGGCAGGGGGAAGGTGGAACATGGGAAGGAGTACGGTGGGAAGGAAGGTTGAGATTAGATTGTGAGAAATGTGAACATCAGGCCGAGGGATAGTTCTAGGCACACAGGAGCCATTTCTGCTTTTCAAACAGTAGAGTGTTACCCAGTGTGTACTATGGAGGAAAACTCGTCTAAGTGAGCAGGATAAATTAAAATGAAGTGGCTTTTACATTTTACTTTATTTTGTGTGCATGTGTGTGCATGCATGTGTGTGTGTTGTATGTGTGCCATAGCACACATGTAGGTCAGAAGGAGCTGGATCTCTCCATCTACCATGTACATCCTGTTACCAGTTTAGTTATCTCACTGACACTACATGAAACAGTTATTGAAAGTTCTACTTCTGACTTCACTACTGAATAACTGTGGATACAAGTCACATATCCTCTCTGGGTCACAGTTTCCTCATTTGTTGAAATGTTACATACAAGATACTTCTGAGGATTAAATGAAATAACAAATTGTAAACACCTTCAGTAGTACCTGATATACAGAAATAAAAGCAAAATGTGTTGCTATTAAAGGTGTATGCTATGATACATGGCTTCAGCTGCCTTTCTTATACAGTCCAGGCCAACCTGCCTAAGGGTGGCACCAACCACAGCAGGCTGGGACCTCCTACACCAATTGGCAATTAAGAAAATGCTTCATAGACACGGCCACAGGCCAATCTGATGGAGGAAATTCTTCAATTGAGAGTCCCTCTTCCCAGGTATATCTAGATTTGTGTCAAGTTAGCAAAAACTAACCAGCACATCTTATTATTTGTATCAAGTGGAAATTTGTTTTCTTTATATAAACAAAAAGCCTATTAAACTCTTTTCATGCATAAACATTAGGGCTCTTATTCTTTTTACTCTTCTTTCTTAACCTGGTAAACTGATTTCTCTTTCCATGCCATGTTCAAGGCTTTTTGTTTTGTTTTTTTTAATCATACGTGTATGTGTATATCTTTGTAGTCGGTTTATGAGTACAGGTGCCTTTGGAGAAGAGAGTGTCAGTTCCTCTGGAATTGGATTTACAGATAGTTGTGAGTCACCCTGTGGGTGCTGGGAACTGAACCTGGATCCTCTATTAAGGGTAGTATGTAAGGCATTGGTGGTATAGTGGTGAGCATAGCTGCCTTCCAAGATTAGTACGTGCATTAACCACTGAGCCATCTCTCCAGCCCTGAATCTGTCTTTTTTCTTCTTCTTCTCCTTCTCCTCCTCCTCCTCCTCCTCCTCCTCCTCCTCCTCCTTTGATCTTCTGTTGATGTATCTTTGAGTATCTCTTGCAGAAAGTATTTCTGGATGATAAACTTTCTGAATTTTTGCATGGCCATCCTCCTCCTCCTCCTCCTCCTTCTTCTTCTTCTTTCTTCTTATTCTTCTTTGAGATAGCCTCCAATTCACAATTCCATCCTGGTCTCTCAGGTGCTGGGATTATAGGTACTACCACCAGGCCTAGCTCTAGCGTCTGTCTGCGTGTCTATCTGGCTCTCTATCGTGATTTCTTTTTTGGAGACAGAGTCTCTCTGTAGCTCCAGCTGTCCTGGGACTTGCTCTGTAGATCAGGCTGACCTTGATTTCACAGAAATGTTCCTGCCTCTGCCTCCTAAGTGCTGAAATTAAAGGCATGTACTACCATGCCTGGCTCTATTGTGATTTTTTTAAAGTATTTTTCTGCATCAAAATATCAGACTTAACTTTGATGCATAACAGAATAACCCAAGGGCTTACCAAAGCAGTTTCTAATTCAGTAGGTTTGGAGTAGTACCTGAGAATATTCATTTCCAACAAGCTCCCAGATGATATTAAATGCTGCTGGCTGAGGGAATTCACTTTGAAAACTATTTGTCTAATACTGATAAATTATGGAGTACTTTAGGGCTAAGGCTGCATCTTAATCTTTGTTTCCTTAGTACTTAAGGTCTGGTACTGAGTTCAGTAAATGTTGCATGACCCTTGGTGCACATTGAATGTTCTGTGATTTTAGGTGGCCATTAAACAGATGAATCTCCAGCAGCAACCGAAGAAAGAGCTGATTATTAATGAGATTCTGGTCATGAGGGAAAACAAGAACCCAAATATTGTGAACTACTTGGACAGGTATGGAGTGGGTGGATCCTGTCAGAGTTTAGGGTCTTTTGGACTGATGACTTAGAGGAAAGGACAAGACAGCACTTTGGAACTGCCTCCATTTAATTATGTCTGTGTGCTGAGCTCTTTTTTAAAAAAAATATTTTATTTTTATTATTTTTATTTTATGTGTATTGCCTGCATGTAAATAAGTGCCCCCATGTTGTGCAGTGCTCGTGGAGTACAGAAGAGACTGTCGGATCCCCTGGAACTGGAGATATGGTCAGTTGTTAGCTGCCATGTGGGTGCTGGGATTTGAACCTGGGTCTTCTGCAAGAACAGTCAGTGTTCTAAACCACTGAGCCATCTCTCCAGCCCTGTGCTGAGCTCTTTTGATTGCTGAGAGATCCTTATGGATTGTGGTTAGCCCTACCACCCTACAGCATCTAAAAGTTGATTCTTTCTACTATGTTTTTTGGCATAGGGGAACTGGCTTCTTCAGCCCATCTGCCTGAGTCACATGTCGAGATCCTTAGTCATTCTATATCCCATGTGTTTCCTCATCCTGCTCACTTTTCTGAAAAATTCCTGGTTGTCAGTATAATCTTAAAATTTGATGCTCACTCAGTTCAGGGTGTTAATTGAAATCTGACCATCATGGCAAGAGTGGGATTTTTTGTCTAAACTCAATACAATTTAATTATTTCCTGTTTTTTAAGATGACTGTTTAATTGTTAACTCCTAGTAAGTTTCTAGTCAGCTGAAAATTGATGATCCCCTCCACACACACACTTGGATTAAACTGGAAATACAGAACTCTTTAAAAGTTACCAGCTTCTGCCGCCTTACTGCTGGGATTATAGGCATATACCACCATTTTTAACATTTCCTATTTATTTTCATGACCTTAAAAAATTCCAGTGAGCTGGGAATGTAGTTCAGTGGTAGCGTGCTTGGCTGGCATGTATGAGTTTGATCCCCAGCACCACCAGGAAAAAAAAAAAAAAATGTCAAGAGAACAGGATTCATATCTTTTACTTTGCTTGAGACTGTGTGTTAAAATCATCCGTTTGCCCATCTGCCAAGTAAGAGACTCGTCATCAGAATGAAGAAATGATGATAGGCCTCGTATCTTAAGCTAACACAAGTGTTTTTCTCCAGCATAGCTTCTTTGCTGAAGGCTAACAGAAGAGTCTGTAAGTTAGCCTCTTTTTCATTTGTCTATGGTGAGGATACACTGACTAGATTGGTTAAATGACCTTTTTCTTTCTCTAATCTGAGTCAGTCAAACTATCAGTTCTAATTCAGGTCAGCCCATAACTTCTCCAAGCTACTAAATCATAGACTTGGTTTAATATATTTTTTAATATTTTATTTATTATTTTTATTTTATGTTTATGAGTGTATTGCCTGCATGCACATAAGTGCACCAATGTCAGTCATGCAATACTGCAGAGGTCAGAAGAGGGCCATGCCCACGGAGGACAGAAGAAGCTGTCGGATCCCCTGGAACTGGAGTTAAGGACAGTTCGTAGCCACCATGTGGGTGCTGGGACTCGAACCGGGGTTCTCTGCAAGAGCTCTTAACTGCTGAGCCATCTCTCCAGTCCCCATAGACTTGATTTATTAGAGGAAGCTATAATCACAGAAATCAAAAGTGAAAGTCATTGTGAGTGTAATTATGTGTACTGGGGGATGGAGAGTTGGCTCAGCAGTTAAGAACGCTGGTTGTTCTTGCAGAAGACCTGGGTTCAAATCCCAGCACCCACATGGCAACTAACAATTGTCCATAGCTCCAGTTCCAGGGGATCCAACAGCTTCTTCTGTCTTCTGCGGGCATTGCATGACACAGGTGCAGTTACCTACACCCAGGCAATACACACATACACATAAAATAAAAAATAAAATATGAAAAAAATTTTAAAAAATAATTATGTGTATATACTTTACGGGTGTTTTGGGGGGTTTTTGCTTTTTTGGTTTTTTTTTTTGGTCTTTTTGAAACAGGATCTCCCTGTTGCCCCAGTTGGCCTGGAACCCACTATGTAGACCAGGCTGGCCTTGAACTCACAGAGATCCGCCTGCCTCTGCCTCTCGAGTGCTGGGATTAAAGGCATGTGCCACCACACCCGGCCACTATACAGTTTTTAAAAGTGTTACTACCACTCTTTATTTAATATGTGTATCACCTTTTTTTTAAAAAAAAATTTATGTTATGGTCTTTTTGAGACAAGGTCTCCCTGTAACCCCAGCTGTACTGGAACCTTGAACTCACAGAGATTCACCTGCCTCTGCCTCCCGAGTGCTGGGATTAAAGGCATGAGCCACCAGGCCTGGCATCATCCTATTTTATTCATGGGTTTATTCAGTAAATACTCGAGTCTACTGTGCTGTCTTGAACAGGACCCAGGAATTACCTTGTGGATCTCAGATCTAGTAGAACTCTCCGGGAGGTTCATGGGCCCTCCCTGTTGATGGTAACATGGACTCCAAATCCTGCCTTTTCACTTTGTGTACTACCTGGGTGCTTTTAGAAGTGTGAGAATCATGCCAGTCTTTCTAATTTTAGGAAGTAGCCTTTGGTGTGATGAAATGTGATTTTTTTTTTAATACTTCAGCCTAGTGTTCTCAGTCCTGCGTGGGTTTCACAGAGCATGTATGCTTCGCTTTTCCCAGGTGTATCCCTAGTGATTTAAAGTTACTGATTCTGTCCTCCAAATTCTGTTCTTCTCCAGAGTAAGGAGCCCTCGACTCTTGTAAAGCTGAGATAGTTTTATCTGTATCCTTGTCTCCTAGCTTTTGAAGCTACAGCAGTGGCTCATACTGTTCCTTCTTGCCTTTGACCTGTTCTGCAGTTACCTTGTGGGAGATGAACTATGGGTTGTCATGGAATACTTGGCTGGAGGCTCCCTGACAGATGTCGTGACAGAAACCTGTATGGATGAAGGCCAGATAGCAGCTGTATGTCGTGAGGTAAGGCTAAGGATCAAGCAGGTAGTGACTTCCATATTACCATGAAAATTCCACATCCAAAGAAACTTCATTCTGGGCTTTATGGAAATGGGAGGAGTTAATCCTGGTACTTTCTTCATTCATACTGTATGCCTGTATTTTATAATTTCTGTCGTGATTTTTTTCTTTAAAGATAATTTTATTCTGTCCATGGTAGAAAAATTAGAAAGTGCCATGAAGTAAACAGTCACACTTGGACACTGGGGATTTAAAATCATGTTCTCATGATTGTGCAGCAAGTGTTCTTACCCACTGAGCCATTACCCCAGCGAAGGAACCAGCTTTCACTGATGAAGATATATGGATATGTGTATTTGGGAAAATGAATTTCCCTTAAATTATTCCTATGTAAAATAAGAATTGATAATATTTATCCTATATATGCCTTTGGAATACTATAAGGATCAAAAAGCACTTGAGGGTCCATGTGATGGTAAAAGTGCTAGCCATATAAGCCCAGTGATTTTGAGTTCCATCCCCAGAACCCATGCAAAGTTCAAAGGAGAGAACCAACTCTACAGAGTTGTTCTTTGATGCCCCCCTCCCAGTTTTTTTTTTTTTTTTCAAAAGCACCTTGGGGCTTGGAAATACAGCTCAATGGAGGAGTGCTTGTTTAGTATACATAGGCACTGAGTGTGATCCCCAGAACTACACTGAAATAACAAACAACGGCAAAAATTCCATATCCATTAAAGCCACTCACCATATCCTTCCAACCCAAGCTTCTCAGCGCTAGCCACTGATCTGTTTTGTCTCTTGACATTTCATATAGATAGAATTATGTGCTCTGTTGTGTAATGTTTGAAGGTTCCTCCATGTTGTAGACTATATCAGCCCTTTTTATTTTATTCCTTTTTATTGCCAAGCAATATGTATTGCATTTTATCTATTTATGAATATTCCAGGTTGTCAATTGTAAGGCTGATGCTATGAGCATTCATATGTCAGAAATGTTCTCGTTTTTCTTGTATATATGCCTATAATTGGAATTACTGCTCATATGACACTGTATACGTGACTGTTCAGTTAGTGACTGTGCCATTTTATGTACTCACTAATGATGTAGGAAAGGTCTAGTTCTTTTTTTTTTTTTTTTTTTTTTTTTTTTTTTTTTTACTTTTTGAGACAGGGTCTCCCTATAGCCCCAACTAGCCTGAACTCGCTATGTAGACCAGGCTGGCTTTGAACACAGAGATCTGTCTGCCTCTGCCTCCTAAGTGCTGGAATTAGAGGCATGTGCCACCACACCCAGCTGAAAGGTCCAGTTTCCTAAGATCATCCCTTTGATTATAATTTTGACATCCAGAGACCTGTATCTCTAGCATCCTAGGTTATCTCTTATTTTCTAGAAAACAAAACAATTGCAGGGCAGTGTTATAATATAGGACTTTAATCCCAGCTCTTAGGGTGCTGTCCTCATGCTTCCTGTTTCTGGTGCTTGAGTCTGAACTCACCCTGAAGGCCCCTCCATGCTGTTGCCCCTCTCTGTATGTCTGTCCATGATGTTAATCACTTTTCTAACAAACTATTTTTCCCACATTAGAAATAAAATCCAAGGTCCAAGGACCCCATCAATATCACACAAAGCACACACTGATAAAGTGAAAGTAGTTCAGCAAGGTAGATTTTACTTTTACAAAAGGGTGTGTTGTGTTATGCCCAGATCTCGTGACTCCCCAATGACCACCAAGGAGTCCGGAGTGTATACAACAGCAAAGAGCCTTTGTTCGGGCTTAAGCTTGGGCCCTCAGATTTCACCAATGCAGTGGATCCGTACTGAGAACCCCGATCTAGGGTGGGATAAGCTTTTATAGGGAAGTTTCACAGAAGCCCGCATGCACCAAGCATCCTTTAAAATGATTGGATGGTCCTATGCCCTGCGTACAGGGAGGATTCTTATTGGTAGGGGCTGTCTTTAGGGCATTGGAATGCGCTGTTATCTGTGGGGCCAGAAGTTTCTGTTTTTACCTTAAAAGGCTGCTATATGCCCGGGCTTGCTTGATCTATAGCTTTCCAGGATGGGGGTGGTAACTGAAGATTACAACATGCCTGGGCATGCCCGGGCTTGCCTGAAACAGCTAGTCAAAATGGAGTTATTGTCACCTTAAGCCAAGCAAATTACAGAAGCGGAAAGAAATGGTTAGACCAGTCAGGGTCCCACATTTCCCCCTCTCCTAGCAACTAGGGATGACCCAATTATGGGTCTGGGTTGGGATCTCTAATGAGGGGTCTACAGGCTGATAATGGGACCTCAGGACCATGAGTTGTACTGCACTCACCTGTTCTCTAATGAAGGCAGTCAGCCAATTGATGACACATGGTCCAATAGTTAACATTATTAGGACTATGATGTCTAGGGGTTCTTGACAGCCAACTAGGGGGCAGTTGGCCATGCCAACCACCTGGTTTCTCCCTTTTGGTACGTTTCCCTGACAGAGAGTGTTGGGAAGGTCAGGGTGAGCGTTGCCAGAGGACAATATAGAAGCCATTAAGAACAATAAAGTCTTAGCTTGAGTGGGTTGTCCGCGTCCTTTTGGAACGTTTCCCTGACAGAGAGTGTTGGGAAGGTCAGGGTGAGCGTTGCCAGAGGACAATATAGAAGCCATTAAGAACAATAAAGTCTTAGCTTGAGTGGGTTGTCCGCGTCCTTTTGGACTTTCCATGTTTTGGGATCCAGTGCAGTGATCAGCGAAGGGTGAAGGTCATCTGGGTCTAGGTGTGGGTTTGCTAGCCAGACGTGAGTGTGATGAATCCAGGCAGTAACTCCTTCTACTTTTACTGCAGTTGGGGTAGTCAGGAGCACCATGTACAGTCCTTTCCAGCAAGGTTCTAGGGTCTCGTGGCGATGTCTGTGGACGTAGACCCAATTGCCAGGCTGGTAGTTGTGTGGGGTAGGAGGAGAAGCGGTCTCTTAAATAGCTTTCAGACGGGGCCAGACGTCCTTGTGGGCGTGTGCCACAGCCTCAAGAGAATCAAGCAATTAACAGTTGTCAAACTCAGCAATTAATTCAGCTTTTAAATTGGGGAGGATGGGAGGGGGTCTTCCAAACATGATTTCAAATGGAGCTAAACCTAACAGGTAGGGTGAGTTTTGCACCCTATATAGAGCAAAGGGAAGGAAAGCCACCCAGTCCCTGTCAGTCTCCATGGTTAATTTAGTAAGGGTCTCTTTTAGGGTTCTATTCATCCTCTCTACCTGTCCAGAACTCTGGGGCTGGTAGGCACAATGTAATTTCCATTTTGCCCCCAATACTTTCGCTAATTCTTGTGTTAACTGCGAGGTGAATGCTGGTCCATTGTCTGAGCTCAGAAGAGCCAGCACGCCATACCTTGGAAGAATGTCTGCCAGTAGCCACTTAGTGACCATTTGTACAGTTTCATGCTTGGTGGGGTATGCTTCAGTCCGTCCTGCAAAAGTATCTACCAGAACTAAAAGATATTTATAATCATATTTGCCCAGTTTTATCTCTGTAAAGTCCATTTCCCAGTGGGCTCCAGGCTTGGAGCCTCTCAACCGGGTCCCCTGTTCTTGGGAAGGTTCTCAGCATTCGTCAGCCTACAGCTAAGACGTGGAGGCGATTGAATCGACATGTGATCGAAGGTTCAGAACCTTGAGATGGGCCTTTCTTAGGAGGTCTTCTGTCTTTCGAATGCCCAGGTGGGTGGTCTGGTGGATGTGATCGAGAGGCTCTTTGGCTAGGTTACTTGGCAGGATAATCCTTTAGTCCCCTGTATGCCACCAGGCATCAATCTTTTGGGTCATGGCAAGTTTGTGTATCAGCCTCAGATCTTTCTGAGAATAATCAGGTTGGTATGGTAGCACGGGTGGCCCTGGGTCCAGCAGATGGATAACCAGGACTAAGGTTGCTTTCATGGCTGTCTCCTTGGCAACCTGGTCTGCCTTCTGGTTTCCCCGGGCTATAGGCGTATCTGTCTTCTGGTGCCCAGGGCAATGGATGATAGGCAGTTTCTTGGGTAGCCATAGAGCAGCCAGTAAGTCTAGGATTTCTTGTTTATTTTTAATAGCCTTTACCTCAGCTTTGAGCAGCCCCCTCTCCTGGTAGATGGCTCCATGCACATGGGCTCTGGCAAAGGCATACTGGCTATCCGTATACACGTTCAAGTTTATGTCCTTGACTAATTTAAGACCCTCGGTCAAGGCTATCAGCTCAGCCCTCTGGGCTGAAGTCCCCACAGGTAAAGCCACTGCCCACACAGTTTCGGTTTCTGTTACTACTGCTGCCCCTGCGTACCTCTGTCCGTTTTACATGAAACTGCTGCCATTGGTGAACCAAGTGGCTTCTGCATCAGGAAGCAACTGATCGGTCAGGTCTTTTCTGAGCCCATGCACTTGGCTCAGGATCCCCCCGCAATCACGCAAGGGCATGTCCAGGTCCAGATTGTGCAGCAGGTGGCCGGATTGAGGGCTGTGCTCTGGAGAAAACAGATCCTCGGGGGGTTAAGGAGCAAGCTTTGATAGTGAGTCATCTGGGCATTGCTCAACCAGCGGTCAGTGGCTGCTTGAGAACTCCCTCAATGGCATGAGGGGTTGTGATACATAATTCTTGCCCTAAGGTTAACTTATCTGCATCTTTGACTGGAAGAGCCATGGCTGCTATAATTCACAAACATGGCGGCCATCCAGCAGCAACTGGGTCCAGGTGTTTTTCTGATAGATATGCCACCAGCCTATTCCAGGGCCCCAGAGTCTGAGTTAGGACTCCTTTGGCCACCTCCTTCTTTTCATCTATGAAAAGATGAAAAGGCTTAGTAACATCCGGGAGTCCTAGGGCTGGGGCGGCCAGAAGGGCCTGTTTGATCTTACTCAAGGCCTTTTCCTGGATCTCCATCCAAACAAAGGGCCCACTTTCCTGTGTGACTTCATAGAGGGGCCTAGCCAATTCAGCAAATCTTGGGATCCATAAGCGGCAGAATCCTGCTGACCCCAGGAATTCTCTCAC